TGTTTCTTTAAGTCTTCCTACCAATATGACCGAGTTGCGAAAACAGGGTCAAACAACTTCTGTTCTACGAAAGGAGACTGCGACCACACAAAAGGCCACACCATCTTGGTCTTTATACCTTTGATGCCGCTTAAGTTTGGTAAAATACCAAGCTTAGACCGTTTAAAAGTGGTCCCACTTCATCTTCGCAATTTGGCTGTCCTTTCAATGTCACCGTCATGAATGCAAACTGTCAAGTATCTTATGTCAAAGTAATAATGATAATTGCCAGCATTAGAATGTGGACTTCGTACACTCCACATACTGTTATCTTATATCTTCGTTTTCTTTACAGCTTCCATTTTAAAGATACCTGATTCACTTCCCTCTATTCTGCAGCTTCACACAACTTTTATTTCCTCACTCAAAGCAATCAGGTAGGTTAGAGTAACTTTTATTTCGTTTGAAGAGTCAGCTGGAAGAAATGTGTAATTTGGCCTGACCGGGAACCCAATGACGGCTGTCTTGGAGCTGTGACTGTAGGATCGTGCGAACAAATTCCCGGTTTACCGTCTGTAGACCGCAGTGAATGGAATATTTCGTGATTTGGTGGTCTATTTTTGTTCCCGCTATGTTGACGCATGTGATGCGTTCAAAGTGAAAGTGTGCTGTGTGGGTGCAAGGCCGTCGAATTGCATGAGATGAGATAATCAGAACCAGATTCCAGGCTAATCAAAAATCCTCTTGCTCGAGGGTACTTCTTGTTCTCTCGCTCTTTCTTAACTCTCTCTCAGCTCTTGAAAATGATAGATGAATGACCGAGGAAGTGGGCTATAAGAGGAATGTATTCAGTGAAAATAACACTCCTTAATAATGCGATCTTTTCGAGGTGTTTCGGACCCTCTCTCTAAATTAGGCTGATATAATATTTTAAGTTCATATGGTAGCATCTCTATGGGGGAGACCTGCTGACCTATACATGAGAGGAGAGCCGAAAATGAAACTGCTTGCAAAGATCTGTAGGTCAAAAAGTCAGAACTGGCCGGAAACAAACTTAATACAGGACACCAGATAGACTGGTCTAAGGCCAAAAGTTTTGCTGTATATGAAGACTATACCACTAAGCGGAAGGGAATCCATAGAAATCG